CATGGAGATAACCAAAATTAGACTCGGAATAATGTCGGCAGATTCTGTGGATTGGAGAGGTTTCACCAGATTCAGTCAGAAGAAGGACATTTATTTTGTGATGCTTTGAGCCTTCTCCAGGGACACAGGTGGTTCATGTGTCTCGTCCTTATTGTCTAAGAGCAGTAGAGTGTGGACAAGAGGATCGGTGGGTGGGGAATGAGCAGGACATGGAGGGTCCACATATCAGGGGAGCAGTGATGATGCAAGACCTGCGTCATTAGCTGTGTTTTTATTCAATGTGAATGTTTTCACAAAAGTCCAGTTATGTGGGAAAAAAAATTCAACTGTCATCTGGATTTTTTTTCACCTTCACTAATTACGAAAATTTTCCACAGTCAGGCTGAGCAATGATTAAATTTTGTGCAAGCTCCATGAAATAATGGGATGTTTCTGAGCCAGTCGAGGTGACAATGACATTGTCATTACATTTTGTGTCAAACAAATTATTTAAGCAAAAATCAAAAAAGTTCAAATTTGATTTTTATAAATTTCATAGTGAAATGTATAAAATATAAGCACAACACCTCCATTAGCTCCAAAACAAAATCATTTTTATAATATTTTATAGTCTAACGGTTACTGAAGAAATGAAGCGTTAAAATCCAAAGATAATTTTCTTATTAACATGGTGTATACATACGTATTTAAATGCCAGTCGAGACTTTGACCAAAACCCAGACATTAATACTCCTCCATTTTTTGCAAAACCTGGGAGACACTTTAAAGATGCAGAATTTCTAAAAATAGCCCTGACTCGTCATCAGCCCTGAGGCAGAAATCCTGCAAAACCTTGGAGGAGACGAGGAAAAGAGGTTTTCCCCTTGACAACACTATGAGTGACGGAAGCTGTGATGAAATGGAGCCACGGCCTGTCTAACCAAAGATGAAATTACACCAACCAATGCCAGAAGGATGTTTTATTTTAAATAATTCATGGTTAAACCACCAGTTAACTTTGAAGCTGCAGCCGCTGAAAGAAGTGGACCAAGGCATCGCCTTGAGAGTAGGAGGGCAGGAGGAGGGGTGTCTGGAATTCCTCGTCACACTAAATAATGCGTAAATTCCACTGAATGAGAGCGTTCAACGTTTAACCCTCCCTCCCTGAAATCACTCTTACTGGGAAAAGGATCCAATCAGAGCCCTGCGTCTTGTCTTAACCCCCACACTGGCTCCACCTCCTCTTCGCTGTCATTATATAGTCTATGGACATCAGCATCACAAACACAGTGGCACACACAGTGTGCACCCTCTCCTCCTCCTGCAGCAGCAGCAGCAGCAGCAGCAGCAGCATTAACCACAGAAAAAGCTCCGCACATGAAGCTGCACTGACTAAGAAAAGATTCCATGCTGACTGAAAATCCTCGGTGAGTGCATCCTCTTTCTCAACCGGATTTTCCTGTTACCTTTGCAGCACAGAGCTGTTTGCACACAAGTTTGTTGATCCTCCACGTCATACCTCGTTCTTTTCACTGTCTTTTTTTCAGCTCCTCTCATTGCGTTTCTCTAACCGGACATTACAAACAAGTGGCAAATGTTGAGTTGAGTGCAGCAGCAGAGGCAGCAGAAGCAGCAACAGCAGGACCACTTCAGGCACTCAAACTCAAAAAGACTTCAGAGGAACTTCTTGTAAAGTCATAAAGATCAAACCAGCTGTTCTTAGATTGTTCCACTCCAGGATGGGTTGTTCTTCAGGTCGCCAGCCTCCAGCCTCGGTCTTTCACCCCGACTTGGATCGTAACGAGACCAACACTTTGCCTCAGGACTCGGAGAATCAGAATCAACTTATGAACGGTATTGGAGAAGGAGCAGTAGGTGAGGAAGAAGAAAGAGGTGGTGAAGAAGAAGAAGAAGAAGAAGAGGGTGAAAACGGGAGCTCTGGAAGAGACCGAGACCCCAAACCTCCAGAGACTCTACCCACACTGGAGCGTCTGGCTCAGGCTACAGGTGGGACAGAAAAGTCCTGGTACCGATGCGTGTTCCCCTTTGGTGTCATCTCCCTGGTGATCGGCATGGCAGGAACCGGAGTGACATTCACCTTCAACACACTCCTCCAGACCAAGGTGGTGTCGGTGGCACTGCTGTGTGCTGGTGTGCTGATGCTGCTGGTGGCTGCCGTTTGCTGGAGGACTCACAGACTGAGGAGGAGGAAGAAGAAGGAAGGAGGCTTCTTCACCGCCGATCAAGGGACTTTGTGATGCAGATGGTTGGAGTGTCAAACAAATTATTTAAGCAAAAATCAAAAAAGTTCAAATTTGATTTTTATAAATTTCATAGTGAAATGTATAAAATATAAGCACAACACCTCCATTAGCTCCAAAACAAAATCATTTTTATAATATTTTATAGTCTAACGGTTACTGAAGAAATGAAGCGTTAAAATCCAAAGATAATTTTCTTATTAACATGGTGTATACATACGTATTTAAATGCCAGTCGAGACTTTGACCAAAACCCAGACATTAATACTCCTCCATTTTTTGCAAAACCTGGGAGACACTTTAAAGATGCAGAATTTCTAAAAATAGCCCTGACTCGTCATCAGCCCTGAGGCAGAAATCCTGCAAAACCTTGGAGGAGACGAGGAAAAGAGGTTTTCCCCTTGACAACACTATGAGTGACGGAAGCTGTGATGAAATGGAGCCACGGCCTGTCTAACCAAAGATGAAATTACACCAACCAATGCCAGAAGGATGTTTTATTTTAAATAATTCATGGTTAAACCACCAGTTAACTTTGAAGCTGCAGCCGCTGAAAGAAGTGGACCAAGGCATCGCCTTGAGAGTAGGAGGGCAGGAGGAGGGGTGTCTGGAATTCCTCGTCACACTAAATAATGCGTAAATTCCACTGAATGAGAGCGTTCAACGTTTAACCCTCCCTCCCTGAAATCACTCTTACTGGGAAAAGGATCCAATCAGAGCCCTGCGTCTTGTCTTAACCCCCACACTGGCTCCACCTCCTCTTCGCTGTCATTATATAGTCTATGGACATCAGCATCACAAACACAGTGGCACACACAGTGTGCACCCTCTCCTCCTCCTGCAGCAGCAGCAGCAGCAGCAGCATTGACCACAGAAAAAGCTCCGCACATGAAGCTGCACTGACTAAGAAAAGATTCCATGCTGACTGAAAATCCTCGGTGAGTGCATCCTCTTTCTCAACCGGATTTTCCTGTTACCTTTGCAGCACAGAGCTGTTTGCACACAAGTTTGTTGATCCTCCACGTCATACCTCGTTCTTTTCACTGTCTTTTTTTCAGCTCCTCTCATTGCGTTTCTCTAACCGGACATTACAAACAAGTGGCAAATGTTTAGTTGAGTGCAGCAGCAGAGGCAGCAGAAGCAGCAACAGCAGGACCACTTCAGGCACTCAAACTCAAAAAGACTTCAGAGGAACTTCTTGTAAAGTCATAAAGATCAAACCAGCTGTTCTTAGATTGTTCCACTCCAGGATGGGTTGTTCTTCAGGTCGCCAGCCTCCAGCCTCGGTCTTTCACCCCGACTTGGATCGTAACGAGACCAACACTTTGCCTCAGGACTCGGAGAATCAGAATCAACTTATGAACGGTATTGGAGAAGGAGCAGTAGGTGAGGAAGAAGAAAGAGGTGGTGAAGAAGAAGAAGAAGAAGAAGAGGGTGAAAACGGGAGCTCTGGAAGAGACCGAGACCCCAAACCTCCAGAGACTCTACCCACACTGGAGCGTCTGGCTCAGGCTACAGGTGGGACAGAAAAGTCCTGGTACCGATGCGTGTTCCCCTTTGGTGTCATCTCCCTGGTGATCGGCATGGCAGGGACCGGGGGGACATTCACCTTCAACACACTCCTCCAGACCAAGGTGGTGTCGGTGGCACTGCTGTGTGCTGGTGTGCTGATGCTGCTGGTGGCTGCCGTTTGCTGGAGGACTCACAGACTGAGGAGGAGGAAGAAGAAGGAAGGAGGCTTCTTCACCGCCGATCAAGGGACTTTGTGATGCAGATGGTTGGACTTTTATTTTATTTTTATTTTTTTAACTCCAACATAGCACTTCAGGTTGGACTTTTTGGACTGAACAAAAGTTTTTAGACGTAGAAAAGTCAGGACTTTGCACTTTACAGCAGAAAAGGGAAAAAAACTGTCATTTCCTCCCCATCCTGAGACGACGTACAGGGTATGAGTCACACTAGAAAACTCTCCTCTCCTCTCCTCCTCTCCTCCTCTGTTCATTCCTGTTAGGGATTTACCTGGTGATCCAGAGCCTAGAGAACATCACTGAAGATCCTGTCTGCAAGGCTGTGTTCTTGTCGGTGTCAGTGGAGGTGAAGAATGATCAGTAGCAGAGGAAAGCCACTCAGGAATACTGTAGTTATTTAACACTTCCTGACCTCCGAGTGGGACAGGAGGTGTTACTGACATGATGATAACTGCCAGGAAAATGTGTTTTAGCATGTTTTAGGACTCATCGGGGGCCACAGTTCAAATCAATCTTTTGATGAGGAAAAAGAACTCTGAATCTGGGAAAAGTATCATCCAAAAATGCAGCAGAAATCTATAAATCTTCTGTTTTTAAATTTATTTAAATCTTTATATTGAGTCTTTTCACTCACTAGCAAAATGTTTGGACAGAGGCAAAGTCTACAAATATTATAGAACAACATTTATTTTTTTGTTGTTGTATCTGAGGAACACTGAGCTCACGCTGTGGCAGAAGGACAACCATCATTTCATCAGTGTTCCTCATGCTTCTCCCTGAAGCCAAATTTAGCCCTCGCACACACCTGGGTCAACACTTGGTCCCCATGTGGTGGACAAACACCAGGTCAGACTGTTTCAGGATCAATAGGAAGTACCGCTGGGTCAGACATCGAGCCGGAGACGAAGATGTGATCCACTTTCAGACTCTTGGGATGTCCAAAAATAGATCCAGAGAAGAAGAAATCATGTGACAACAAAAACACCATCAAGGCTTGCATCCTTTACTTAAGTCTTGCCTCCCACTGAGGCAACCAGAGGAGGCGCTGCTGGACATCAGGCGTGGAAAAAGGGCATGAGAGAAAGGAAGGAGAAAAATCCATTTAGTTTTTCTTTTAGTTTTGATTTTTATTGGTTTTACTGGATGTAAGAAGTGAATTTTAAATGTACTTAGATATAACCGGCAGTCCTTCATAAATATAATGTTTAAATGTAGCAGCAGCAGCAGCTACGTTAGCTATAACATAAAATTGCAGCCAATGTAGTTTAAGGGGCAGCTTTATGTCAGCTGTAGCGGTGTTCTTGTGAATGATAATGAGTAAAATGTTTACCAGCATCACTCTTTATTCAGTTGCATGGAGTTTTTTGTCATAGTTTTATTCGTTTTTTCCCATGGTTTTCTCCACAGAAACAGAGATCTGTCAGACTCAGTCTTACACAAATGTACAGATTTGTTGCTGGGTTATGTGTAGCATAACATTTTATGCATTTTATTATTTCCTTGCAAGTCACCTACTTCTGGACCAAACTTAACTTAATTTTTGTAAAACAAAATGGTACAATTTTAATTGCCAGTTATCAAAAGCCAAAAGGAAATTAAGTAAAGTAAGCCCAGAAAATCTAAGAAGAAAAATTGTAGGAAAATCTGATGGAATTTCCCTAGAAATTGCCCAAAATGCTCCATTAGACAGAGAAAGAAAGCATTTTAGCACCGAGTTTAACTGCCACAGATTTTGGACACTGTTGAGCCAAAGGGTTTCTCATTCAGTGGTGATGCATTCATTTAAATATGCGTACATGCAGTATATTTAACTTGAAATACTTTTAAAGTATATTAAAATACTCGTAACATGTCATAAATAAGATACTGTGTTCTATGCTAGAGTGTACCCACATTTTCTAAATCAACAAAGTAAAAAAAAAACAACTTCTTTGTGCAGAGTGTTAAGGATATTAATAGCTTCCTTTTTTTAAATGCACATTTTCAGTTCAGAAATGTGTATTTATTTTGTTTTGTTTTTTTTACATGTGAATGGTACAACATATTTTAATGATAATTGTCAGTGTTTTCTTCAGTGATGTGTCCGTTCCATTCCATTGACGCGGCCGAGCTCGTTCTCTGAGTGCCTTTTTCATGCATCTTGGAATTCTCTTTCTGTGAGGTGCAGTTATTGTGACATTGGTGCCACAAACGTAGCAAACGTTTTTTTCTTATTTGTGACAATTTTTGTGTGCATGATGATTTTGTTTTTTTTATCAGAAAATCCAAATATGTTCTTTATTCTGCAGCTTATTTGTGTGTGTCAGTGAATGATTGTTGTTAGTTTCTCCTTTTTACTGTAGCCTGAGCTGCTCACGCGATGAATAAAAAGAGAAAAGTCATTTTTGGAACCAAGCTCTGTCTGTTGTCTATTTGTCTTTTTTTTTTTTTTCAATTGCCTTTCGCCATCTTGCTGGAAAATGGCAGCGAGAGAAAAAAAAAAAAGCATTAGTGCAGCTGTTCATATGGAGCATTAGCATCAGTTCAAATACAATGACATTTGTGCTGCACAGCAGGATCCATACATTCACATAGGTCAACTACTGCCTCTCTGGAGGCACCGGAAGATAAAGCCCCATTTATATTCAGTCGATATGGAGATTTTCTTTTTTTTTTTTTTGGTTTTATTGCTGACCTTTTTATTTTTTCAGAGCAACTGTAGCTGTCTGTGGTCTATTTTTGGCAGTTGTTTAGGCTTGCTGATTTTAAGCTAACTTTGGCTCATTTCACATTCACATTTTTCATAACCTTTCAATTTTATTAAAAAAAAACCGTGGCAGTGATTCTTGGACCAAATGAAATGTGAGAATAATCTGTGACGCTGCTCTGACTGACCCGAGCATTCCAATTAGATATTATAAAGAACCAGTAGAGACAAGTTTTTAATTCTGTGGGGTAAAGTTTGTTGCAAAGTGATTCTTGACTTAATTTCCTCTAAAACTAGAAAAAATGTACATGAATAAAGCCAGGTTTCGTGAACTCGGTGTTCTTTTGGATAAGACACAGGAATGAAGATCATGATCTGGCAGAAATTGTATTCTGGAACGCTTCTTCTTCTCCTCTCGGATAGTCTTAATGATTTCTTTTGTTGAGAATATGAGAATATGAGAATATATTCAAAGAAAAAAAACTAAATGGGCTTTTGATTTTTAAAGGTAAAAACCAGTTCACCTACAACAACACAGAATCAGTTGAAATCTAAAGCTTTCAGGCTTCTCGTTCACTTTTGTGAGCGCAGCTGTTTGCATCAATATTCAAACGATGCGTCCACGCTTCTTTCTCCTCCTCAACCTCCTCCTCCAACGCCCACTCCTCTCATCCACACACTTACGAGAGACTGTGTCATTCCCCCCTCTTTCCAGCTCTCTCTCTCTTTCTCTCTCTCTGCCATCCTCTCCCTTTGGATAGGGCTAAAAATAAACCAAAGGCTGATGTCAAAAGAAAAGGAATGAGACGTGAGCGAGGGTCCTCTGCTACGGGAGTGGGAACAAAATCAATGTGTAAAAATGGAAGTTAATTATAGTCGATGTTGACGGACAGCGAAAGGGCACGCTTTTCAGATGCAGGAATGGTAATTAAATGTTCAAGCAAATAACTTATTAGAAAACAATGTTAGCATTAGCTGGTGAAATGTTTAACATTTGTGTAAATGGGAGACTAAACTGTAGAGGGCATTATATTTCACTGACTCCTTTTTGACATTTGTTACAAAACTATTTAAACTAATGGACAAAAAAACAGACAAAATATTGAACTTCTTGTTGGGTTTAGTATTTATTTGGAGATTTTTAAAACTCACCTCGACACTGTTTCTTTTTTTTTTAAGCAAAAATGTTTTTATGTTGTTGTTGTTTTAGGTTCACAACAAAATTGTGACTATTTTAAACTTTAAAACACAGAAAGCTAAGATCAGCCCTAAAAATTGAATTTAAATATTTTACTTCCTGTTGATCTAAGATTTCACAAAAAATATTTGACGTCGTATGTAATTCGACCCTATGTGATTCACTCAAATGAAACAGTTTTTAGTTCAGTCTTCCATTCGGGGGCACTGTGGAGCACGAAAGAAATTAAGTAGATAATATTACAAATTCAGTTAACATTTGAATATTTTGGATTTGAATTGACCAAGGTTTAATTCTTTTAAATTGATCTGACGTCTGGATAACATTTTGTGGATGAAAACACTGGCCCATATTCACTGCCTGGCATCAGTCAGCCAAAGTAGGCACAAGTCTCTGAGCATGAATCAATAATGGAACACAAAGTCAACAGGAGACTGAATATTGGACTTACATTCATCTTGTAGACACAGAAATCATTTAGTCCAGCCGCTGTGAGTTTACTGAACACGTCAAACAGCTCAGGTCGGACCATAAATCCACCACAGCTCTGTGTGTTTGACCTTAACTGGCTTAAAAAAATCATTATGTCACATTTTGAAGAAATATGGCCTTTGACTAACCTTACATGTGTTTAAATAATTGTTGTATGAAAAATAAACACACTCCTTATTTAAAGTGCTGGTTTTTACTCCCCATCTTGTGGCAAGAGATGCAAGTAAACACTAACATTAAATAATGAATGAATTCATTTATTCATTCATTCACTAAAGTGCGACAGATGTACAGACACAAACAGATTTCTGGCTCAAAATGCTCAATAACGTCTTTTTCCCCAAACTTCCAAGGCATTTTTTCTAAATAGCAACTATAAACCTTTGTAACTTTGCAGTTCTGAATCCTTAGTTCTGGATTTATCTTGTACTTCAAACTCACCAAATGTAGCAGCAGCATTGCTGTGTCTCTTTATACATCAGTAGGTTACAGTATAGTTATCAGCACTAACTGTGAGCATCTACATCTACAACACCCTCAATCATCATTTTAATCTCCCTATTTGTTTGGCAATCACTGTGCTCTCATTTGCGCTGATGCAGTGTTGCTATGGTAAACACATGTAACGAGGCTAGAAATGGTTGTGGAAGCATTCGTGCCTCACTTAAATGGCTTTTGTGCATTCCTTGAATTCTAAAACCCATGTTTTTGGTATTCTCACTTGATCAATTATCTCTAATCATCTGACAGCGTCACTTGTTTTAGTCCACACTGATTGCTTCCTTTCTCATGTCGTTTGTGTGTTCTGTTAATTGCCCTGCCTTGGCTTCCATCTGCTGCCGAGCTGTTTCTCGTTTGTGACAGTCTCAGGGTCAGATGTCTGAGGTTAGAGGACTCACAGTTTCTGTTGCCTACAGACATCTTCTTTTTCTTCTACTTCTTCTCCTTCTCCTTCTTTGGCTGCTGCTTCATTTAAGCTGCTCATTCAAGACAGGAAATGAGAATGCGCTCATTATCACAGTAAAGTTGACTGATGTCTTCTCATTATCAAAGCAACGAGAATCAATTATGTTCACACACAACAGAAACAAAAGTTCTGTCTAAAAGTTGATGCTAAGAATTAGCATGTCTGGGTTTGGAACCAGGATTATTAACGAGTGCTGGCTCTCAGATTGCCCCTTAAATTGTTACAGTCCCACTCAAAAAGTTCTAAAAGTTTTTTTTGTCTTTTTATGTCATTTTAGTTAGATATCTCTTTCTTTTTTTAATTTTGCTGAAATTAAAAACATGGCAAAAACTGACTAAAATAAAGTAAACACAAACGTTAGACATTGTTCAAACTTTATTGAATCATTAAAGCTAACGCTAGTTTGACTAAGAGCTTTTCTGAGAAATGCAGTGGAATTCAAACAAAAAACTAAAGTAACATTTTTGTTAGATTTCAAGATGCAAAGCTGAAACGCCTGATTAAAAAGCACAAATAACAGAAAAAGACATTAGCTAACAATTTAAGTCTGTAATTAGCATAAAGTCAACCAAATACTGTAATTGCTAAAACTTCTTTGACTTATGTCAAAAACATAGCTAATGGTTAGCTCAGAACTGTCTTCACCAAATGCACGACTTCACAGAAAGTGGCAACTTCTCCAGAAGGGCAGCAGAAGGCAGCGAGCCCGGGTCATGACACTTTCAGTCTGAGCATCTGCGTTGACAGAAGCTGATGGCTGAAACCGTGGCAACTGAAAGTTGAAAATGTATCTGGTGGAGGAGTTTTTTATGCAGTACATGTGGAGTGTGAGTAATCCCTGTGAGATTAAGTCACCTGCTGTGCTGCAGGAGTTCATCTCCGATCAAACCCGGTGAATAACTTTTCCTCGTCCAGCTCTCCATCTTTAATCTCTCTTATGACTAACTGCTTCATTCGGTTTGATAGTGATTTGACTCTGTCATCTGCTCTGTGGTTAGGAATGATCTGTTAATGATCATCTGTTGTTTTGGTCGGACAATCTCTCCTCCTCCTCTCACTTCACCTCTGCTCCACTGTCAGTCACCTCTGTATCTTGCATAGGAGTAGACTGTGTTTAAATTCCAGGTCATGGCTGGAGAGTAAATGGCAAAAATAATTAGCAAAATGGAAAAGTTAGACTGATGTGGGATGAGGTCAAAGGTCAGTGGTTGGAGTTCAGCTAATGAGACTTTGCAACACAGTGAAGCTCTGCAGGGAAAACGAGCGATTCTATTATTGACTTTGCTATCAGGTGACTGAGTAGTCATGTAACCAATGAGTGGGGTTATTATGGGATGTAAACTAATTCAAAGAGAATTAAATGTGGTCATTGATTATGAGAGTGAAGCCCCAGAAGTAAAGCCAAGAAACCACTTACTTTATTTTGTGTCCATTCTCAGTTTGCTAAATTCATACTTTTCTTTTTCATCCATCTGGGATTTTCTGACAACTTTATTTAAAAATATATATATATTCGGAAAAGCTCTCAGCATTAAAATTTCCACTCTGTGAAATGTCAAAACTAAATAGCAACTGAGGTGATGCTGTGGAAGTCCAGACAATGCAAAAGTAACATGTCTGCGGGACGGGAAGGCAAAGCCGAAACCCCTTATGGCAGCAAATCCACTGCAGCAGGGTTTAGCTGACACAGGAGCTGTGGTGCATCACTCCATTGTCCCACTGTAATAATGAACAAACATGGTTCCACCTGGTGGACTCGTCAGAGGGGAACCACCTGCTTCCTCATCAGTGAGTGTAGAAAAGCCGTGGGGGATTAGGAAACAAGGGCTGGTGAGAAACAAGAGAAAATTAAATGAAGAAAAAAAAGAAAAAAGATGAAGAAAATGATCAGCATTTATTGATCCAACCGTTCTCGTGAGGATAGGATTACACCCTTTGGTGTACAACCATCGTTTATACTGTGAGAGGAAACAGGATGGTCTGGAGAAATACCTGTAAGGCAGAAGCACTGACCACTCTTCCACTGTTTGGCCTCTGAGCCACAGTTATTAAAAATGTTTTATAAAAATCCCACTGCTTCACAGTTGTTGTCAGTCACCAAGGGAAATCTTCTTAGTGCATATTAAGAATAGATTCAGTTACATGTCAAATAGAAACTGCTGCAGCACTTTGAACCAAAACAGATCTCACTGTCTACACATACACGTACACATACACGATGTTCTAAAAAAGAAAACAAAAGCATTTGTCTCCGGGAATTGAACTTCTGAGAAATCTGTGCGTAGATGCTGCTTTTTCTGTGTGTGAGAAAGACAGCCTATAAATATATCACCAAATAAAATGATTCCCCCCAGAAGAGTGGGTGAGGACGCCTACGTCAGGAACAAAAGACTGTGATACGTTTGCTAAAACTCTTTTGGAACTGACGCAGTCCCGGCGGTGCCCACTTTTTCGCACGTCACGTCACAGTTTTATCACCTATTTATGAAAACAAACAATGAATCAGGCAGTGAAGTACAGGAGAGCAGTCTTCTACAGAGACATCCGGGCTGATCTTAGTCCACGTCTGTTGTCACCAGGCTCTGACCATTAACTAACTACCAACCTCCAGACCTAGACATGATAATGAAGCAACAAATCTAAGACTTAGTATTTTTATCTACAAGGGCAGTTTGAATTGAAATAATTCTGAAATAAGTCAATAGTCTCCCACAGCTGATATGCATTCAACTGAGGTGACCAAACCAGCTCTAAAGAATCTTCTACGAGCTTCTTTTAAACCACTTAGAAAGGCTCTGTTTTTTGAAAAGCCTGTGAATAGGTCCAAAAAATTGGCCTCTTCTTCATTAGCAGCATGAGCAGAGTGGTACATGAGAAACGTAGTGTCTAAATGGAATTCAGCCTTTATATTTCTCTTTACTCTCTCACCATGGTTACAAAGTCAGACGTTTCATTTTTAGTGAATGTTTGACTCCTTAGCCTTGATGAACAGTCCAACCAACTAAGGGTTTTTTTCTTTTGAACATGTTCATGGATGGATGAATGAAAGATTGGGGTGAGAGGCCACGGGTTTGTGTGTGTGTGAGAGAGAGAGAGAGAGCTAATAATAGCTGCTTCCAAGTCAGTTTGAGTCACCAGTCAATGAAGAACCCTAAAGAATTCTATGGATCCTGCTGAGGGACCCTTCCTGCACGCACGCACGCACACCCACATACACACACACACATAAGCACACACATTCACTTACAGACTGGACAGTTCAATTACCAGCTGGCTCTGCTTTACTACTACCAACAATTGTTGTTATTTATTCTCCAGCAGGAACACGCTCAGATACACACCCTAGAGACGGCAGCACAGATGTGCAGTTTACAACAACACAATATACAAGGACTGTAGAAAAGCCATTATATGACATCATGCAATCTATAGCAACTGCCTTGTAGCTGTACAAGACTCTTTTTGTTTCTGCAGTAGCACCAAACTGTAGCACTCCTATTATTTTTAGCCTCCAGATCAATAAATCCATTGCAACCAGTCGAATAAAATCAGCAGCAATTTTCTGCCACATTAGTTTTCTCCTGTGAGGACAGTAAAAATGACTTGCTAATTGTGGTTTGAACA